TGAAGTGCTGAAATAGCAATGCTGTTAGCAATTCATCGTTCACGATTAGAGTGGATTACATCTTCAACCGAGTAGTTCTGAAATGATTCACTGAGATCTGAGCTGTATTTAGAGTACTGATGTCCGATGCAGCTATACAATCCTCATTACAAGGTTCAAGGATCAATTCAAGATATTATGATCGCAAATCGAGAATTCATAGCGTCTCATCAGTTGAACCAAAACTACGTGCCGCATTATACGATGACAACAATGCGTTCGTCAGCGAGAAAATGGGTTTCATAGAAAAGATATTTGGTGTCAGAAGGGAATATGTTAGTTGATCAGAGACATAATCTCATTTTGTTCGTTTCGCTAGAGTGTTTTGATAAGTTTGAGCGGTTTTAGGGGGTTCAGGTTATTTTTCTGAGAACAATTGATGTTCATTTTGGGAATTCCAAAAGCAACAGCAAAGGTATGAAGAGGCTGCAGTGCTAACTGCTGTGACAAGTGAAACATTTCAAATTCAATTTCATTTTGAACTGATTAATAAATCCTGCAGATTGCATACGTGATTGTAATAGTCGTTTCACTTTATTTGATGTCTGGTGAAGAAGCAGGTCTCTTATGTAACCTTATCGGCGCCACACATCCCATTGTCATCTCATTTAAGGTTTCTTTTCCCAGATTTTCATGCTTTCTTCATCATTTCGATGTTTTCAACTCATTTAATCACTCACTGCATTTTTGTAAACCAAGAGAATGCAATCCTATTTGAGGTAATTTGTAACCAAGATAAAACAGACGCAATCACTTGGCTGTTACCGTTTTGGATTCAGTACAGTGCGTTATTACTGATCGATTCCTACGAATATTACATCATGAAAGTGTTTCCGATTTACTGGCTTGTCAAGGTTACATTTATTGCTATTTTAGTTTTGTAATTACATTCCTCATTCTGATCACAATTACTTATTTTGATCACATCGATACTATCACCAATACTTTACAGGCAATAATACTCCTGTACTTACTGCTACCTCAAACCAACGGTACAAGGCGAGTGCACAGAAAGCTAATATTGCCAACTTATACAATAACTAAGCAAGCTATCGATAACAAAATGCGTTGATTCGATTTCAATAAAAACATTTTTATCAACATTGTTTCTTATCATTCATTACAAATCATCAATGACACGATCAGTGACACGAATCACTTCATAGTTATCAGCACACACAAAGTTACGAACAAAATGCTCCCGTGAATGTAACTATACCCTTCCAATTCCGTGCGATCTTGTGAATTTTTGCGATTCTCTGAAAATCATACTCGAAACAGTTGCAGTAGGTGGGATTGCAAACCGCATTTGTTGATTTGGCCTAGCGCGAAAGGACATAACTGAAATGTGAGTGGGATGGTGCGATTGAAAGATGAACGCAGAATCGATGAGTTAAAACACAACTCGTATTCGTCAACAATTGAGTTTTGATCAGACTGATGGCATACTCCCGTTGTCAGTCGGGAATCCAAAAAGTTTTCCACAAACGGACCATCGTCTGATGTCGATCTCCAGCATTGATTCTCTGAAATAATATCAGAATAGCCCGGTTTTGCTAAAATTCACTGGAACAGCATCATTGGGATACATTCTTCGAAAAGTATATCGTTTGAAACATCAATCCACCAAATTGCTGTTGCAGAGCAGGGGTTGATGTTGCGAAACAGTTGTAGGAATTCATCATGTGCCTATTCAGGTTAATATCATATGAAAGAATGAAGTTACGTATTAAGTTTCTCGATAGATTGCCGTTAAAACCTATTTGAATTGTGAGATTAGTGGTTTTATTTAACATTGAGGGATTGTCGATAGAAGCAATTACATTTTGTTACTGATTGTGTTCATCGAATAAAGTAGGTAAGCAAGTACCCCAAAGTTGATCAAAACAACGAGCAACGCCAGTAATGGTTTTTTAATCACATCCAACACTGGAAAACTGGTTATTAGAACGTCGGATTTCAAAAGAATTCATTATTGGTGAGTGAAATGATGGAGTTGTCAACCTTTTTTGACTGGCAAATGATCAACTGATTTTTGCTTTAATCGTGGTAACTTTACCGAATCATCTTGGGAGACTCTAAAAATGAATGTAATATTTATTCATCACCACAAGATTGATTTTGATAATGAAATGATTTGATATTAATCGAAGCAATAGTTACCATTACCTGCAATTCACCTGGACATTCTTCGGAATCATGTAGCCTTGCAAATCAGATTGCGACCTAGAACATAGATTGCTCAGCATTAAATGAATCACTCAAAAACGCTTATTCTTTGGATGGCTGGAAGTCTGATTTTGCTGTGCAACGATGTTCGATATTAAAGAATTGAAACGTTACCGGACCAGATTATTGGAAATTCGCGATAGTGTCGGTGATGAATAATCGATTCCAGCATATGTCGTTTGATGTGTTCGTGTTTTCGGGGGCATCATTTTTATAACCTTGCATTCGTTACCTTATACCTTGTCTTAATTTATAAAATACTCCCAAAAAATACGAAAGCAACGATTCATTGGCAAGAGCGAATGTTAGTTTAGTCGTTATTTTCAAGCATCTTTATTATGTGACATAAAAAACTTCA